CCGGAAACATGGTGCTGTTACAAATGCCTTCATGAGGGATATGAGGGGTTCGTTCTGGCGGCCAACATGCCTAAGAAGAAGTAATTTGGCACAACTTCTGAGGGGTCCAAGAAATCAGGTTACATACACATGAACTATTTAAATGCCTCTAATGGTTGTGGCTGCTTACCATGGTGGCCATCAGAACCCAATTTAGACATGCTATAGCTTCATTACAACCATCTAATCCGATGAAATTTTGCTTCAATATGATTTCATATGGTCCAACAAACATGTCTATGTAATCAATTTATATAACCCTCCGGTAGTCAAACATGGCTAGCTGGAAAATCCTCCGTTCATAGATTATTTCCCCATCACAAGCTGCACTTCATTCGGGGATTTCCCGGCCAACCATGTTTGAGTCTCGAAGTATCCCCATGATTATCATGATGGTGGATATCTGGATATCCTGGATATCCCACCAATTATCTGAACATTATCTGATTTTTTTTCCCCAAAAAATCATCCCATTTGGTTAGTGAGTTAAGTCCCCGATTTGTGGGTCTATCCCATAAATATATATATATATATATAACTGGACTATGAACTGAGATTATGGGATATTTATGGGATATTTCTGGGATATTTATGGGATATACCATTATATTTCTGAATATTAACATGGGATATTTATGATATTAACTGGATATTCTGAATTTCCAACATGGCAAATGGAAGCCCATCTCATCCCCTTTAAGGCAAGCCGAGCTCTTCAGCCTCGTCCGCGGGCCTGAATGGTTCGACCAGGCCGTAGTTGGTTGGGACCTCCATGGGGAAAGAACGAAAAAAGCCCTAGGACTTAAAGGACACCCCTAGTTCCGTGATATTGTTCTATGTCAATTGTTTTTTGGAATTGCCATGTTATGATCATAAAGTTCCATACAAAAAAAGGCCGATATCAATATTCTATGGTTCCATGTTTAGGGAATACCGCCCCATTATCATAATTGATCTTATGACTTTTCGTGTTGTTGGGGTTGCATCTCGGGGCGATGAAGTGGAGAGCATCCTCGGTCCCAGTCTTTGTTGTGGTATTGCTGCATGTGAAACCTGGATACGATTCCAACTGAATGATTTGCACAAGCTATAACCACAATTTGTGGATCCTCAGGTGAATTGGCCAGTAGTTTTTGACCCACGTTCGTATGATTTCCTCGTAAAGGAGCTACAAAGTCTTGGTCAAGAGGGGCAAGCTGCGCGAGAGGCGGAGGGACCAATATGGATCAATAGTGGATTGTGGACAAGAAGTTTGGGCTTACATTATAAGATTGTGAGTCATCATGGATGCATGAAGTTGGCCAACCTTCTGCAATCTCCGAAAGTAAGTTTTTCTGTTCCCTGGTTTCACCAGGGGCTTTCGAATGTGTGTTTGTGAAACACTGACACAGAAGCAGAGCATGACTGTGAACCGCCAAAAAATTAGCAGATAGTTCCGATCATCGGAAACCAGACGGGGGCAGGTTTATGAGACCTGAGGGAGGCTCACTCAAGACCTTTACCTAAGAGCCAAACAGAAAGGATATGCTGGATACTACATGTCCCGTCATGGTTCCCTCATGTCATCCTGCCATTAACTGAAGGTTTTGACAGCAAACATTTGGGATCACTATTTTGAGCCCATTTGGCAAACTGGTTGGTCGCTGAGTTTTTTTATTTAGTTTAGCGATCTGAAGAACCTTACATGGACGTACATTCATCCTTAAATCTTCACGTGTTCCTGTTTTTACTCGCATCGTTCTTAGTTTGACTCTGTTTGTGGTCCCTGGCTGTGAATATTTAAGCGCAAGGGGTTTATCTGGGTCCTCCCAGATATCAGGCACTGTTGGGCTTGAAGGAAGACAATTCCTTGGAAGACTTGCCATTTGCCCTGGAACTCAGACACAGTGACCACCAGTGACCTACACCTGGTTGGAAAAGCCACCATCAAATCTCCAGTGACATCCAGGGACCTTCATCTTTCAGGGTTGGTAAATGTCGCATGTTGGGGACTTGCAAACATCATCTCACGAATATCCACCATGTTCAATAATTACTGTTCAATATCTATCTATCTTTCTTTCTACCTATCTATCTATCTACCTATCCTATCTATCCTATCTATCCTATCTATCCTATCTATCCTATCTATCCTATCTATCCTATCTATCCTATCTATCCTATCTATCCTATCTATCCTATCTATCCTATCTATCCTATCTATCCTCTATCCTATCTATCCTATCTATCCTATCTATCCTATCTATCCTATCTATCCTATCTATCCTATCTATCCTATCTATCCTATCTATCTATCTATCTATCTATCTAATTATCTATCCATCCATCTATCTATGTCAAACAACATAGAACAGAACTAGTAGAGATTAGTAGTCTTTCTGGCCATAGTTGGGACTGCAGCTGTTCTAAGGGCATCAAAAACGCCTTTGCCGCGCGCTGAGACGCTCCTGGAACAAAAAAAGTGGCGTTTGAACAGCAGACTTTGGGACGATTCTTGGGATTTTGATGGGATTTACTACCTGGTTAACCTGGTAACAGAACGTCCATATTTTGGGATGTTTCTTCATTTTCGGGACGTTTACAATATGTTCCCATCAAAACTATGAAGCACCAAATGTTCCGTGTTTTGCCAGCTTAGATTGCCAGAGGGTGACCCCAACAATCAGAATGGCCCGTGAACAAATCCGTGGCGTTGGGCCGGCGACAAACACCACGAACGCGACGGAACGCGAAAAAAAAACGCCACAACTGCGTTGCGATGGCGTTTCTGAGGAAACTGCAACAGAAACCTGTTCCGGTATATACGGTATAAGGTGCAACCTCGTTTAACCAGGCAGAGTGGCCCATCCAAGACATCGTGGGCGGATTCAGCGGCAACAGGTAACAACGGCAGCTGGAGCTGAATCAAATTCCTAGAGTTGAAAAGAGGAACAGCAAAAGGGACGCTACGCAAAACGTTGGCAAACCATTCAGTTGGTGAGTATATTGTCGTATATTAAATTTACAGTATCGTATTTGATCTATGTCTTTCTCACCTACGGATGAAACATACTGCGGCAACTCAAACATAGGGCAGCTCACTAGGGAGTTGACGGCGCGGCTTCGTAGGGCGCGTACGGATCAACGGAAAAACACGGGGAAGATAAAACATGATACAGCCACCAAGTTGTTGAGGTTCATCTTGAAAACGTGGCCGGCAAGTCACTTACTGTTTCACTAGACCAAGTCTCTTAGCTGTGATGCTTGACATGTCATGGTTCAATAATGTTCAATGATACGATTGTGTTTGATTGCATGCTTTTCATTTGTGTTCTGAAACCAGAACCCCATTGGCATGGCGTCCTTGCGTGGATGCTGGATTCTGTTGGCATCACTGGTTGACTTGTTGTCGCGTATCCTGTCGGAAAGCAAAAACGGATCTAGTCCAAGAGGAAGAGCAAGCGAGTTAACAAACACAACAAACACATATAATATCATATAATATGAAACCAAACAAACATGCTGGCACGTTGGGAAGCAAGTTGAGAGTAGTGTAGATAAGATGAATAAGCATGTGGCAAGTGGGATGGTGTCAGAGCCATGCCAGTAAAGAAAAGTCTATAGATCAGCACGAGCAAGTAAAGACGGTGAAGAAAAATTAGGCAAACCGGCAACAAGTCAAACAATTTGAAGATATTTGAAGTAATCCTGGCGTAGCATAAGCGTCGTCAGGCACTGTCAAGCAAGGAAACTCATGCTGTAAACAGCAAACATAATAGAAAGCCTGCAAGCCGGGCACATACAGCGTGGGGCCCATTTCCCTTCGCTGCGGGATGCTGACATGGGTAAATTTCACAAAGCTTCGAGTACCACTAGCTGAACCTGAATTCCTTGGCTTGTGGTGATGAGTGGCTGGAGGGGGCTGTGCTGGTGTTGCTGGTTCTCTGCTGTTGTCCTTGTTGCCCTTGTCGTCTCTGTGGAACCGTGCTTTCACCATTGAACATCTCAACACGACGATCCCTTACATATATAGAACAAGCGTCACAGACATGAGGTTCGAGTTGCGTGACGAGGGGAAGTCCTTGTGATTGAAACGCCTCATCATGCCTCATAGTTATATAGAATATGAATTTATGTGCACGGCACATGACAATTTTTTCAACTGCACACTGCAGAACCTCCGCTTTCCATGTAAAGATCATTAAAGACGATCAATATGTTTTCGATCCGGGCGGGCCCGTGCGATTGTATATTGCGAATTGTGGTGCAGATAGAATTTGTTTTCAAAAAGGTTTCAGCGACGACTGTGTCAACGATGTAGGAAAACTGTGCCCACTGCCAAGAACCTGAAATGCTGATATGTGGACTCCTCACCGCTCACGGGGCCTGGGGAAGGAGAACAACACATGATAACATCTGCGTTGCAAAGCACGTCCGCAGGAGCGGAACAGTTGGATCCGGCAATAACAATCAGGACTGAGCGAAAATGTGTTTGGTTGATTTCGGACCATACTTAGAATCGCGCGGTGTGAGGCTAGCGTTCCTTGCGGAAATTGACAAGAAAACAATAGAAAACACACATCTTTCGCGAGAATAACCCGGCCCCTTCCTGTTGTGAAACTCGGCGCTCCTCACCACGGACCTTGTCAAAATCGATGTGCTCGGCTTTTGGTATTAGTGTTTTTCCTGGAAGGCTTGTTGTGAGCACTGGAAAATCCTACAGATTTAGAATGTTTCAGATGTATTTTTGTTTTTTTTGGTAGAAAACTTGTTCAACCCGTCTGAGCCAGCAGTGTCGACGTCCAAACCTTGAAGATGAATAAAACACTGGCAAATTCGCACCTCAAAGTGATTCGTCGCAATTAAACAACCAGGGCAGCCAGGGGTTAGTATATAATCAGGGGCGGACTCTGAACTATGTCAACGAGTTGAAAATCCAAACGTTCATGTCTTTTCCAGATTCTGAGGGGCTGGCAATCGTTGGAATGTTCGTTTTCTCAAAATTGGTTTGGATTGCGGCCACTCCACCATAACTAGGGTTAATGGGACTTATTCAGCCACGAATGCTGGTTGCCTGTATAAAGGATTGGGGTTCAACACCATCATATCCCAACCATGCTGTGTGAGATGGCCATGGCATGCCATGGCAATTCAAAACCTTTAGGTTTTATCGGAAAATGATCCGAACATCCAGAATTGGATATTTCCCCACCTGCCAGGTGAGCGTTGCTAGATTTCAACAGAGCTCTTCTCCTCCTCCTCCTCCTCCGCCTCCTCCGGATATTCCTCTGCCTCCTCCGCCTCCTCACCCGCCGCCTCCTCCTCGCAGTCCAGATCCCAATGGGCACAGCCGGACCTCCACCGCGAGCTCCAGATCCCAGTGAGCACTGCCGGACCTCAACCGCGAGTTGCAGATCGCAGTGGGCACTGCCGGACCTCAACCGCGACTTCCAGGTCGCAGTGGGCACTGCCGGACCTCAACCGCGAGCTCCAGATCCCAGTCTCGCAGTGGGCACCGGACCTCAACCGCGACTTCCAGATCGCAGTGGGCACTGCCGGACCTCAACCGCGACTTCCAGATCGCAGTGGGCACTGCCGGACCTCAACCGCGACTTCCAGGTCGCAGTGGGCACTGCCGGACCCCAACCGCGACTTCCAGATCGCAGTGGGCACTGCCGGACCTCAACGGGAAGAATGTCAGAAAAGATGCCGGATAGAATGTCAGAAAATATGGCAGATAGAATGTCAGAAAAAATGTCAGAAGATATGCCAGATAGAATGTCAGAAAGAATGTCATAAGATATGCCAGAAAGAATGTTCTGAATGCCATCACATATGCCAGAAACAAAATCAGAATATATGCCAGATAGAGTGCCAAAAAGAATGTCAAAAGATATGCCAGACAGAATGTCAGAAAGAATGTCAGAAGATATGCCAGATAGAATGTCAGACCATATGCCAGATAGAATGTCAGAAGATATGCTGGATAAAATGCTAGAATATATGTCAGATAAAATGTCAGAAATTTGCCAGATAGAGTGCCAGAAAGAATGTCAAAAGATATGCCAGACAGAATGTCAGAAAGAATGTCAGAAGATATGCCAGATAGAATGTCAGACGATATGCCAGATAGAATGTCAGAAGATATGCCAGATAGAATGTCAGACGATATGCCAGATAGAATGTCAGAAGATATGCTGGATAAAATGCTGGAATATATTTCAGATAGAATGCCAGAAGATATGCCAGATAGAATTTCAGAAGATATGCCAGAATATATGGCGGATAGAATGCCAGAAGATATGCCAGATAGAATGCCAGAAAATATGCCAGATAGAATGTCAGAAGATATGTCAGATAGAATGCCGGGAAAAAATGACAGAAAAAATGTCAAAAGGTATGCTAGATAGAATGTCACAAGATATGCCAGATAGAATGTCAGAAGATATGCCAGATAGAATGTCAGAAAATATTCCAGATAAAATGCCAGAAAAAATGACAGAAAAAATGTCAAAAGGTATGCTAGATAGAATGTCAGAAGATATGCCAGATAGAATGTCAGAAGATATGCCAGATAGAATGTCAGAAAATATTCCAGATAAAATGTCAGAATATATTTCAGATTTTTTCAGATAGAATGCCAGAAAATTTGCCAGTAACAAAACGTATAAATGTCATGGTGGGGATAACTCGAAGTAAAGTAATTACTTTGAGGATGCCACCTCAGTTCCATACTATTCCATTGCCTGGGGATAAAATGGAGAGAGATACACATTCAATTTTAATACAGGAAAACGAAACATGAATTTTGCGAGGGACATGTCTCTTTCTTTGGTGGATGGTGGCGTCCAGAATTTCCAGTTTTCACTTGGATCCGTTCCCGATTCTGCGTGTGAAGGTGGCTTGGAGGTTGAATTTCGTTTGTCAAAATAATTGTTTCCCAGGGATCCCTACCCTCTTAAAAATTGAATTTGAGGGGGGGGGGCCATACTGAAATTTCATTTTAAAATTCAATTTTTGCAATCATGCTTTCTAAATGAGTAGTATCCGGAGTTAAGCACATGTCAGACTGAAGCAGCACATGTGTAGGGATGGCATCCCTCCAAAAATTACGCTGCCGTCATGGAGCTAAGCGCAAGTATTTTTTAAGCAGTGCGCAAGGTTTGTTAAGAAATGTTGCTTTACAATTCGATTTGAGGGTTTGGATCACTATCCCAGGGTTTCCAAGCAAAAAACGTGTAATTCGACAGGTTGGTTTTGTCCTGCCCCGCCCTCCCCCTCTAGAGGGGTAGGGATTTCCAGGGGCTTAAAATTAAACAAACCAGCAAAGAATCAAACATAACAAAAAAAATCATCGGCACTGGGCCCAAACAACAGTATGTCGTCCGCAAACCGCAAATCAAGTAATTTTGGCAAACAATCTTCGAAATTTATCCCCGCACCTGCTGTTTCCATATTTCTCCTCCATTTATGCATGGCCCA